ATACCCTGATGCAAGCAAAGAATTTATAGTTGACACAGACGCAAGTGATATAGGACTTGGCGGTGTGTTGTCTCAACGGAATAGTGACCAAGATATCGTGATAGCGTACTTCAGCAAGTCGTTGTCAAAACCGGAAAGGAACTATTGTGTCACAAGACGCGAAATGCTAGCTGTGGTAAAGTCGTTGCAGCATTTTAGCAAATATCTTCTGGGGCGAAATTTCACTTACGAACTGACCATGCTGCACTAAAAAGGCTATTGCAGTTTAAAAATCCAGAAGGACAAGTTGCGAGGTGGATTGAACTACTGCAGGAATACGACTTTGAGATCGAACATCGCAGCGGGAAATCTCATGGCAACGCAGATGCATTATCACGAAGACCTTGTCCTGAAGATTGCAAACATTGTACTAGGCAAGAGAGTAAGGAAGTGGTATCCGTGAGGATGCTCAGGGCAGACCACCTCAGCAACGAGTGGAAGGACAGCTTTCAACGTGCACAGCAGGGAGATCCGGACATCAAGCCGATCCTGGAATGGATGAAGGCCCGTGCTCCCAAGCCTAAGTGGAGCAACGTCTCAGCAATGAGTTCAGCCACTAAAAGCTATTGGGCCCAGTGGGACAGCTTGCTGCTTCAGGATGGAGTTCTGTGCCGTAAATGGGAAAATGTTCGGGGAGACAGCTGTCATTTACAAATGGTTGTCCCTAAAACTAAAGTACCGGATGTTCTACAGCTGTACCATAATGATTATTCAGGAGGCCATCTGGGAGTTAAACGAACTCTACTGAAGATCCGAGAACGGTTTTACTGGGTCCACTGTCGAAACGATGTCGAGGACTGGTGTCGCAAATGTACAAGTTGTGCGGCTGTAAAAGGACCTCAGACCCGTAGTAGAGGTGCATTGCAGTTGTACAATGTGGGTGCACCATGGGAGAGAATAGCCATTGACGTGGCGGGGCCGTTTCCGGAGAGTGAAAGCGGTAACAAGTATTTCATGGTTGTGATGGATTACTTTACTAAGTGGCCAGAAGTCTTCGCCATTCCAAATCAAGAAGCTTCAACAGTTGCAGATAAACTAGTTCATGAAGTCTTCTGTCGTTTTGGAGTACCTTTAGAGATTCACAGCGATCAAGGAAGGAATTTTGAGTCTCAAATATTCCAGGAAACTTGCCGAGTTATGGGTACTCATAAAACAAGAACGACTTCTTATCACCCGCAATCTGATGGAATGGTGGAACGATTTAATCAGACATTGGAGAGGTACCTAGCAAAAGTTGTAGACAATCGGCAACGAGATTGGGACAAGCACATACAACCGTTTTTGTTGTCATATCGAAGCGCTGTTCACGAAAGTACAGCAGTGACACCAGCTTTCGCAAACTTTGGAAGAGAATTACGGCTGCCTGCAGACCTGATCACCGAGATACCACCTGATGCTCCACGCAGTATAACCGATTATGCAAATGACTTGCGGAACAAAATGAATGACGTTTATGAGCCGTCAGACAATCGGACCAGCAAATGTCTGAAAAGATGAAAACCCGGTATGACCGCAAAATGAACAACAAAGGGTTCGACGAAGGTTCACTTGTGTGGTTGCACAATCCAGTCCGCAGCAAAGGGAAATCTCCTAAGCTTCAAGCTAAATGGGACGGCCCGTACCGGATTGTGACCAGGATCAACGATGTAACCTACCGGATACAGAAAGGCGCAAGAGGGACTCCTAAGATCGTCCATGTGGATCGCCTAGCGCGTTATTATGGGACCGATAATGCTCGGGACGAGCATGTCTTAGGAGGGGGCAGTGTTACGCGCTAAAATCGGCGCACTAGCGCCATCTAGTCTCGAACCAAAGAACTAAACTTCTTGAAGTTTAAAACTCGAACTCTCGGTACCTTGCGCGTGTTTACTTGAACATTCTGGATATTTTCATAATTTATATAAGTAGGCGCTGCAAGATGCGATCGAAGTAGTGTTGATTTGGCGAAACAAGCGAAGCTTCGGAGCGGAATAAAGTGAATTAGTGTGTTTAATTATTAGTGTTTTTAACTTTAATTTGTGTAAAGTACAATTAGAAGTGTTGAATTTAGGTAATTTTATCGGCAATTTTTATTGCACGAACCTCAAGCTTCGTAACATTATCTATCCATGTTGCACTAGATTTAGCAATACGCGTTGGCTCCAAAAATTAATTAAAAAGACCATAAGATTTAAACAATGATCTTAATTTAATATTGGTGGAGAAAGCTTCTAGGAGATTTATATTAAAGTCTCCACATATGCAACAGATTTATTCTGTTTATTAAGCTTTGCAAAAACTTCCTCCAGAATTTTTTCAAAAGTATCATATAAAGAACATAGGGGTCTGTAAACGGCTCACAAAAATGAGGTGCTCAAAAAAAAAAGCTTTTCGGTTATTAAAAGGAACCTTAAAAACATTTTGTTGGGAGTCTGTCGAACTATTTTTGCAAGTTGTGACGAAACAATACAGAAACTTCATCGGCTTCCAAGATTCTTCCTTGCTATACATTTTAATTTATCTTTTTTATTTTTATTTATTTTATTTTATTATTTTATTAATAAGGCACACAAACAGATTTGTTGACAACAAACAGACATGTCCGGTATATTAAATTTGGGTTCACAGTTGTCAGGTTTTTCATAAACAGAAACAAAATATGCTGAAAAAAGTTCATAGATTCCTTGGGGATCTGTAGCAGTTTAAGCATCATGAGTCTTAGATTCAGGGATACCTTTACTTGATTTGTTATTAATGAACTTAAAGAAATGTTTAACGTTTTTACCTAAACTATTCTCAACTTCATTTTGAATCGATTTGTAGCAGGCTTCAATTAAGTGTTTACTACGAGTTCTCAGCATATTGTATGTATCATAATCCCTCGGATTACCAAATTTTTATACAACTTATGATACTTTTCTTATCTCGAAGGCAACGAATTAGAAGAAAGTTAAACCAGTATGGGTATTGGTTAGTATTACATTTTTTAAATGGTGCAAACAGCAAAATAGCTGAATTAAGTTCTTTATACATAGCATCAACAGCACTATCAGGGTTCAAGTCATTTAACAGTTCATGCCAATTAACTTTTCTTAAATGATCTTTAATTTTTTCAAAATTACATTTATGATAATTTGGTTTCAAAAGTTTACGATTAAATTTAACAAAATTTGGTTTATTATTTGTATAATTAAGATTAATTTCTATAGATGGATGATGACCGTCCAGTTTCAATAATGGTTCTACTTCTTTTACTCCTAGTTCGTTCATAGTTGATAATACGAAATCAAGTAGACGATCATTCTGATTTTTAGAATTATTATATTGTTTCAGATCACATAATGCCATAGTATCTAAAAGAAAACGGCCCTTAGTGTCAGCAGAAGCATTTGGAATTAAACGTAATTCTAAATTAGAGATCTCCCAGTCTATGTCAGGAAAGTTAAAATCGCCTACCAATAAGAAATGTTCAGAATGGGCATTGCTAAGTATGATACTTTGATAGTGTTTCATAATTTTTTTTTTTTTTTTTTTTTGGGGGGGGGTTGGTTTTTAAAAAAAAAAAAAAAAAAAAAAAAAAAAAAGAGAGGGGGGTTCCCCTAAGGAAGGGGTGGGGGGGGTGTTATAAATAAAATTTAAGGGGGGGGGTGGGGGGAGGTGGGGGTTTTATTTTATAAAAAAAAATAAAAAAAAAAAAAAAAACCCCCGGAAATTTTATTTTTTTTTTTTTGTTTATTTGGAAAAAAATTAATAGGGGGGGGGGAAAAATGGGAAAAAGGGCTGGACCCGAGACGTCGGTTTATTGATGTCGTTCGACTGAAGATAAGGTGGAAGATAACAAACACAGATATTTAATGACAAGCAATTTGTAGAAATAAGTGAAATCCAAATATCCTCAAAGTTATTGTCCCAAAATTGCCCCGAGTAACAGTAAAACATTTTTTATGGCCAAGATCACACCTTCTCCCTCGTATTTTCGTCCGCCATAAGCGCATTCCCCTTTGTCCCATCTGAATACATTATAACACTCATCAAATAATTCCTCATTAAAAATACCTTCATCTAAGTTAGTTTCGGTTAAGCAAATAATATCATATTCATTATTTAGTATATTTGTATACAGCTGATGTGTTTTGGAATGCATACGATTAACATTTTGATAGTAAATTAACATTCAAGACAAAAAAATACAAAACTTAAACGCAAAATAAACAAAAACAAAAAGTGAGTTACTACAATACAAATCAATTAACTAATTTTAACCAAGCTATCTTTGTTTTTAATATGTACTGCTGAAGAATTATCATCTTTTCTCACATATATATTCCCGAATTCGACCCACACGTATTATATTTTCCACGAGCAGTAGCCCGTGTCAAAGCAAAAAGCTCCTTGGTTTCTGGAGAGAGATGTTCGGAAACGTAAATTGGGCATCTGTCCCCTTGAATTCCTAAATGTACAGAGCTTAATGTGTTGCCAGGGTTAGCCTTATTATAACGTTTGACCGCTGACAGAAGATTATCACGATGTCGAATGGAAGGCAGCGAAAGCAAAATATTACGCGGACGTTGGGTTGATGTGGTTGGCAATTTAGCAACCCTTCGACACATACTAATTTCAGCGTCTGTCGTTGGTAGTTTTACTGTAGAGTAAATATTTTTGACAAGCGTTAAAATATTCTCATTCCGTTTTTCGGAGACTGCTTGAATCTCCACGTTGTGACTGCGGGAAATTTTTACCATGGATTCCAAACGACGATGCAGTACACTCATTTTGTTTGTTAGATCGGCATTAATTTTTTCTAATGTCTTAACTTTTATTTCAGCAGATTCAATATTTGACTTGAGTTCTATTTGACCCTGATGTAGAAAGTCTGTAGTCTCGGTAAATTCAATTTTGACTTGATCAATGGCTGTAACAATCTCCGTTTTGATTAATGATTTCATATTAATATAGAATAATTTCTTGAGTGATTCAAATTTTTAATCTAATTTAGCATCAAGTTTCATATCAAGAACTCTGGCTATACTCTCTAATGTAACTTCTTGTCCTAGAGAAGGGCACATAGAAGTTGATGGCTGAGGACCTAGTGAAGTTTCCGAGTGTTCAACAGAAAGAGAGTCGTCGCAGGACATTATTGAATCATTAAATGGCACTGATTTTCTAACTGGTGTGTTCGGAATATCTCCCTTGCGTCGATTTGTTACATTAAAGCAAGTTGGGCATTTCCATTTAGATTTAGTTTGGCCGTCTATTTTAAAGAAAGCAGTCTTATCCATATTCAAACATTTTAAATGGTATTCTTGCCTACAGTGCATACTTAAAAACTTTTCTCTTTCACCAAGAGGTGGTGGCAAATATTTGCAGGCAATATAAAAATGTTTGTTTTCCATTTTGGTATACCTAAATGCAATAATAAAGTATAAATTGTAACGTGGCTAATTGCGTAAATGTTTTTTTTTATGTTAGCATTAGCTGGCGATCGAACCTCGACCTTTATTTGAACTAACAAAAACCAACAATAAATTAAAATAATTCGTTTGGAAAAAAGAAAAAAAAAACAAGAACAAAAAGACGAATGACAATGTGGAAACCGAACCACGGTTTCAGGATGTTAGAACAGACCTCTGCGCCAAAGCGCTTCGATATGACTTCACGAAAATGTTAATCTGTATCGTAATATAGATGCGAGATTTTTGTTGTAGTGGGTATTTAATCATAATATATTGTCCGCCAAATGTATGCACAACCCACTTATAATCTATATCACAGGGATAATCTTGAAATAAAATCATTTATAGCACTCACAGTTTTTAATACACGGACACAATTTATATATTGACATAAGGCCGAGGAATTATGCTACGAATTATATACGACTCGATGACGTTTTAACCACGAATATCAAAATAAAACGACGGAGCTGACAATAACACGTCCGATACCTGTCTTGTCTACATTAACTCTATAATAATAATAATAATAATAATAATAATAATAAAGTACCCTCTCAGTACCTTACTGGAGGGCTCCGGGAGAGGATTTCAGCTACGGAAAGGAGGGACAAAAGTGACCCACCTTTTTTTATATGGATGACCTCAAGTTATTCGCTTCCAGTCGCTCCCATCTTATGGAACTGCTAAACATCACTTGTGAATTTAGCAGTTCCATTGGAATGGAGCTGGGGACGGATAAGTGTGCGGTCCTCCATGTTGAAAGGGGAAGGGTTGCTAACTCTGAGGGCAACTTAAGGACCCTTTCCGAGGCTGAAACATACTGATACCTGGGTATGTCACAGAACATCGGTATCGATGAGGCTGGTATGAAACAGTCAGTTTGCGACGTGTTTTATGCACGCTTGACCAAAGTGCTTAACAGCCTTTTGTCCGGTGTGAATAAAACACATGCATATATCGGCTGGGTCATGCCTGTCCTCATGTATACCTTTGGCATACTCAGGTGGACTCAGACTGAGCTTAACGCCCTGGATAGAAAAGTCCGCACTACCATGACGTCCCATAGGATGCATCATCCGAGATCGTCGGTAATGAGGCTGTACTTGCCGCGGAAGTATGGTGGGCGTGGCTTTCTGAGCGCGCTCACCATGCATAATCGCGATGTGTGCAGTCTCCGTCAGTACTTCTTGGCGAGATCGGATGATCCATTCTATAATGACGTCATTTCTAGTGATAAAGGGCTTACCCCTCTATCCTTAGCCAACGAGCAATGGCAGGACCCAGCAGTGCATAGCAATTCCGACCGGGAGACCGTATGGAAGGAGAAGGAGCTCCACGGGAGGTAAGCAAGGCTCTACATGAGCCCTTCGTAGATACAGTCGCCTCCCTCAACTGGCTACGTTTCGGTGACCTCTTCGGGGAAACCGAGGGTTTTGTCTGTGCAATACAGGATCAGGTTATTAAGACCAACAACTATCGGAGATACATCCTAAAGGATGGCACCGTCGACGTCTGTCGAGTTTGTCGCCATCCCGGGGAGTCACTTAGGCATGTCATCTCCGGTTGTTCGGCGCTTTCTAACTCTGAGTACTTGCACAGACACAACCTAGTAGCCAGAATTCTACACCAGGAGCTCGCTCTGAAATACGGTCTCGTGGACCGGAAATTGCCGTATTACAAGTACTTGCCGGAAGCCGTGCTCGAAAATGACCGCGCCAGACTCTACTGGGACCGGGCCATCATCACAGACAGGACTATTCTTGCGAATAAGCCTGATATTGTGCTGATGGACCGGGCACAGTCAAGGATATTTTTGGTCGATATTACCATCCCGTATGACGAGAACCTCGTGAGAGCCGAAACAGATAAGCAATCAAAATATCTGGACCTGGCTCACGAGGTGACCGACATGTGGGGTGGTCTGCCGGTCGAAATTATTCCTGTAGTCGTCTCTGCGAATGGGCTAATCCCAGTTAGCCTCTCTGGTCATCTGAGGCGACTGGGACTCCGTGACGGACCGCTCCGGGCTCAAATGCAGAAGGCGGTGCTCCTTGATACTGCCCGCATCGTCCGCCGGTTTCTTTCCCTTTCTTCCTAACCCTTGGCCGTTTGGTCTCCCCTGCCGAGGGCTTCCATCTGGTTGGGCTTTTATTTATTTATGTATTTTTGTATTTATTTTATTTTATTGATATTTATGTATATTTATCCTTTCATTTTCGTTTATAATTATATATTTATACATCCCAACCAGATGAGAAAACTATATAGATACCCCACACATAATAATAATAAAAACAACCTAGTAGCCAGAATTCTACACCAGAAGCTCGCTCTGAAATACGGTCTCGTGGATCGGAAATTGCCGTATTACAAGTACTTGCCGGAAGCCGTGCTCGAAAATGATCGCGCCAGGCTTTATTGGGACCGGGCCATCATCACAGACAGGACTATTCTTGCGAATAAGCCTGATATTGTGCTAATGGACCGGGCACAGTCAGGATATTTTTGGTCGACATTACCATTCCGTATAATATCTAGACCTGGCTCACGAGGTGACCGACATGTGGGGTGGTCTGCCGACCGAAATTATTCCTGTAGTCGTCTCTGCAAACGGGCTAATCCAGTCAGCCTCTCGGGTCATCTGAGGCGGCTGGGACTACGTGGCGGACCGCTCCGGGTTCAAATGCAGAAGGCGGTGCTCCTTGATACCGCCCGCATCGTCCGCCGGTTTCTTTCCCTTTTTCCCCTAACCCTCGGCCGTTTGGTCTCCCCTGCCGAGGGCCTCCATCTGGTTGGGCTTTTATTTATTTATGTACTTTTATATTTATTTTATGTTATTGATATTTATGTATATTTATCTTTTCATTTTCATTTATAATTATATATTTATAGAACCCAACCAGATGAGGAAACTATATAGATACCCCACAATAATAATAATAACTAGAGACTAATAATAATTAGAGCATATGAGGAGTACATTGGAAGAGGCGATTGTGGAAACGCACAGTACGCCTCTCGAAAATCGACCGCGACTTCCCCGCATAGCCCTAAGCAAGCGGAATCGGGCTGTCGTGAGGGCTCTGAACCCAATGCTGGTGACCTATTTGGAAGCCAGCCGGGACCTTTGCGAGACGGACTCAATTCTTTTTGGCGCCGCGCTGGCAGTCTGCCGTATCATAGGCGCCAAGGTTTCCACGGCTGGACGCGCTACTGGCCATAGTAGCGCTATCCCAGCATGGAGAAGAAGAATTGTGGAACGTATCGCAAAGGCTAGAGCTCTCATCGGCAGACTGATATGCTTCAGATCAGGCAATAATAGGCCAAGAATTGTGCGCACCGTCAGGATGGCGTTTGCTGGGACAAATGTCAGTTTGTCCCAGCCGGATATAACGCAAAAACTGACGGAGCGCATAGATAATCTGAAGCAGAGAATCGCTGCTTGGGGAAAGCGGATTCGGCGATATACCGAGAGGTCGACACGGTTCAACCAGAATCGTCTCTTCCAGAGTGATCAGAAGAGGCTCTATGAATCATTGGACCGACCAATGGTAAGTGGAACGGGTCCAGCACCGAATCAGGCCGACACTGTAGCATTCTGGCGCGGCCTGTGGTCAGAGCCCGTAAACCACAGCGAGGGCCCTTGGACGGAAGTTGTGGCGAGTCAGTGTGCGGGTATTACGCCCGTGGACCCCGTCATCATAACGCCGGATGACGTAGCTGAGGCGGTCCGTAGGGCCCCGAACTGGAAAAGTCCGGGGCTTGACGGGCTGCATCACTTCTGGCTGAAGGGGTTCATGGTGTGTCACTCTGTGCTCGCCCGACAGTTTCAAGAGGCTCTCAACCAGAAGTCGCTCCCAAGCCTCTTCACTACTGGGATCACTCATTTGGTTCCTAAAGACCAGGGTACCACAGACCCGAGCAAATACCGCCCCATCACGTGTCTACCGACCATATACAAGACACTAACATCATTTTGAGCGCGAGAATCACTTGTCACCTGGACTCAAATCAGGTGATGTCGCGCGCTCAAAATGGATGTCGGGGCGGTGGTCGTGGAACCAAGGAACCACTCCTCCTTGACGCGGTCATTGGCAAAGTGGTGAAACGCAACCGTCGAAACTTCTCCGCCGCCTGGACAGACTACAGAAAGGCATTCGACTCGGTGCCCCATACATGGCTAAAGAGAGTCCTCGAGCTGTACAAGATAGACTGTACAGTTAGAGGCTTCCTCGAGCAGTGTATGGGGCAGTGGAGTACGATCCTTTGTCATCTGGGCGAGCGGATGATGGCTGCGGAGAGCCACATAAGGATAAGAAGGGGTATCTTCCAGGGCGATTGTCTGAGTCCAATCTGGTTCTGCCTCTCTCTGAACCCTCTCAGTACCTTACTGGAGGGCTCCGGGAGGGGATTTCAGCTACGCAAAGGAGGGACAAAAGTGACCCACCTTTTCTATATGGATGACCTCAAGTTATTCGCCTCCAGTCGCTCCCATCTTATGGAATTGCTAAACATCACTTGTGAATTTAGCAATTCCATTGGAATGGAGCTTGGGACGGATAAGTGTGCGGTCCTCCATGTTGAAAGGGGAAGGGTTGCTAACTTTGAGGGCGTAGACTTATCTATGCCCGTCAACTTAAGGACCCTTTCCGAGGCTGAAACATACCGATACCTGGGTATGTCACAGAACATCGGTATCGATGAGGCTGGTATGAAACAGTCAGTTTGCGACGTGTTTTATGCACGCTTGACCAAAGTGCTTAACAGCCTTTTGTCCGGTGTGAATAAGGCACACGCATATAACGGCTGGGTCATGCCTGTCCTCATGTATACCTTTGGCATACTCAGGTGAACTCAGACTGAACTTAACGCCCTGGATAGAAAAGTTCCGCACTACCATGACGTCCCATAGGATGCATCATCCGAGATCGTCGGTA